GGCGCCCCTGTGTGCCTGTGCCCCCCTTCCGCAGGCCGGCACGTCACCAAGGAGACTTCTCTCTCTTTCTCTTGCCCTTAAAGCGTGGCTTGCCGATGGCAGCATCAAGCACAGCATCTGCCTGTCGACTGCTCGTCTGCAAAAGCCTGGCCTTGTATAAGGAGTGAAGGAAAGAAAGCGGCAGATCTGCATACTGCAAGGAGATGCGATGCTGATCGTCGAACAGATCGAACACTTCGTTCGTCAGAGCATCTGCCTCTTGGTTCTGATCCCTGGGGCGCCATCCCAAGGTGAGCCTCAGGCTTGCCTTCATGAGCAAATGAGAGAGTTGCATATTAATCATGAGCAAAGGCCATCTTGTAGTTGAGCCCTTCTTGGCCAAACCTTCGTTGGCCTTGTTGTCTGTCTGTGCAAGAACCTCAACTGTCATGATGCGTCTCTGTGCATTGACCTCCAAGTGCCCAAAGGCATGGAGCGCTGCAAGCGTGGCCAGGAGCTCCGCAGACGCGGACGCCCACTGACTGTGGCCCTCCGGGCCGAACAAGTAAGGTGCCTCGTCTGGGGTGAGCCTAATCGAAAACCATCTAGAGTCCTTAGTGGTACCCGAGCATTCCCATCCGCCTAGGACGACGCAACCGTCGGCGCATTTGGCATCAGTGCGGAAGGCAACTCCTTCCCGCCTGATGGTTCTAGCTGCAGCCACCTTGAAAGACATGTCCTTGAACGTAAAAGACAAGTACTCTAGGGTGAGGATTACGGTATCCGGCAAGCGAGCCACCGCGCTGACACTGACAGCAGCTCGCCAGCTGTAGAGTGGGGCTAAGTGTGCTTTTAGCCAAACCAACAGCCTAGATACGAACCCCAATCTGCCTAAGAACTCTGCGAAGCGACGAACTGAAACGACGAACCTAGAGGCCCTGGCTTCCTCGATCCACTTGAGCAGCCACTGCCCTCGCGACTCCGAGATCCCGACCCTCTGATCAGGATAGGACAGCTCGTACCCCACAAATGCCGAAGTGAGCCCTCCACGAAACTTCTTGTAAGCAAAAGGGGTACCGAACATCTCAAAACATGCAAGCCACATGAGCAAGTGATGGAACTTGTCCTTCCCTGCGAAGTTTGCATGCACATCGTCTACGTATACCAAATGGTAAAACCAAATGGTCAGCAGGAAGCGGGCTGCACACCTACCTATGATACCGAACAACCGTGACCAAAGGAACGCCGAGGACGATATGCCGAAGGTCCCTACCTTGTTGTACCATATTACAGGCGAGTCATCCCTGAGACGACAACAGAGGAGCGGCCAGTCGCTCTCCCTCACCAAGAAAAGGCGGTGAGCGGCGGTGACGTCGCCCGTGAGGCAAAACGTCGCTTCCTGACTCTGCTTGGCACTGCGAACGAGGTGCACAACTTCACGTGGGCCAGGGTTGGCCTGTTGGTTGAGCATGCGAATGCCATTGTTTACACGAACGCCGTGCGTTCCGTCGTGCAGAGGTCTCGCGGACCCGTCTGGCTTCAAGAGGGAACCCAAGGAAGCAATCCTAACCCGATCCTTGCCGTACCTTTGCTCAAGCACGGGAAGAGTCGACGGCGCCATGCGTCCCAACGCCTCCTCTTCTTTGAACTTCTGCTCCAGCTGTTCTATGGTCTGCTTAGCCGAGGAGTAATTGTCACGGTGCCACTCGTCCTCGGAATCATCTAGTTTACAGGACTTAACCTTAAACTCGTAGACTTGAGGTAAGTGTGGGACGGGCTCATCAAACCCGATGGCAACCCCGGTGACGTAAGAGTCCTTCTGGCACGCGATCGCCTCCCAGTCTGGGTCTTCAAGGAGCCGAGCGGTGGAGGAGATCGCATGCAAGTAGAATGGCTGGTTAGGTGGGATCTCCCGCAGCTCCGAAGATCGAACCCCGAGTGCAACCTCAACGCAACCAAACCATTCTTCTCTAAGACCCTCAAGAACCTCGGGCGGAAAGGGGGACGACTTGAGCCTCCCCAAAGCTAGCTCCATGGCCGTGCGCCTGACATCCGGAATGTGATGATCTAGGAAGTCCCGGAGCACTCGATGCATAGCCTTAGCAAAGCCTGCAGCCCTAGCCGGAAGTCTCGAACCCCGAGCAGCGGGAGGCCACCGTGTGGGCGAACACAGCCCGAAACCGTCGTTGATGGGCTCCACCTTTCCGTCCCATTCAAGGCTCAGGGGTGGCCCCTCATTATGACAATCCTCATGCCTGAAAGGCTCTGGCCCCTCGCTGGTAGACCCGCTGCAGGAGTCAGCGGATGCCTCAGCATCCTCAGCGGGCGCTTTGAAGCTCGAACACGCCTCCTGTGAAGCCTCGCCCGGAAGAACGAAGCTCTGGCCCCGCAGCGTGGACAAAACATCCTGCGGCGCTTGCTCATGATCTGAAACGCTGAAGGCTATGATCACCAAACGCCTACCAGTCCAAGGCATTGTGAAATGTAAGTCCCGATAAGCGTGGATGTAAGCAGGTTCCGCCGTGATCGGAACGAGTCGACCTGCAAGGCGCCTGCCATCGACGACCTGAAAGGAATCTCCCCCTTCACATTCTGTCCAGACCTCCCCCCCAGAGAAATCCGAGAGAGCAATGATGCCGTTGGGAATGTGAGCGTTGCGGCTATCCCTATGAGGCTCTGTACCAGTGTTGAGATACAAGCTCACAGTGGTGAAGGGATGGCCGGGCATATGTTGGCGTACGAAGGATGTTAGGGCCTCTGTCGACGCGGGAAACTGACGGCAAGCCGTTCTTAAACCTATTCAGCCCCCACCCTTCCTAAACAACCCAGTGGTAAAACTGCTCGGGGTCCGCCTGGAATACATAGTAGACCTATAGGAGGAGTCTCATGCGGCAGCAGACCGAACAATGTTGCAACCTCGGCCCTCGTCGGTGTTTTGGCAGAGGATATGGCCTCTGCGAAGTCCTCAGCCTTCGCAAAGCGGCGAGGAGCCCCGGTCACACCCGCCTCTACACTACCAACCACCTCTAAACTAGAAACCGCCTTGGGCAATGCATCCTGCGCGGAACCTGAGCTGTGCGGCCCGTGATGGGAAGCATGGGCCTCCCCCGCCTTTGCACCACCAACCGCCTCCAAACTAGGAACCACCTGGAGCATCGATGCACCTGCGGAGCGGGAAACAGTTGCATCTGAAACCACCTCTACCCTATCAACCGCCTCACTAACAACCGCCTCCAAACCCCCAACGTCCTGAAGAGAAGCCTTCGCCTCAGGACCCGAGCTGTGCGAAGCTGACCTGATACCCCCATGCGCAGCGGAAGTGAGCACAGCATGAGCAATCCATTCACACAACAACGGAGGGTAAGCAGCCGCAGCTGAAGTGGCCCACACACGGCCAGAGCGACCTGCCAACACCTGATCATGGCCTCCGTGGGGACAGCGCGGAGGCAAGGGGCCGACGTAGCGATTTTGGGAGTCGAACCGCGGCCAAGTAGCATAGGCAGGTGGCTGTTGCGTGAAAGCTGAAAGATTGGTGAGAAAGCGTGTCGGCTTTGAAGTCGGAGCCTCGAAGGCGCATTGGAAAACAGCAAAGGTGATGGCCTTGGTAGTCACCTGAAGCTCGCGAATGGATGGAAACTGCCATATGGATGCCGGCACCTCCTGATCGGGCGTCGCTCCTAAGTCCTCTGGGTGTTCAAGAAAATATTGCCATGCAAGTTGACATGCCATCACGGTCTGGTCAACAAAATAATTAGCCTGCGCTACCTGCTGCTGGTGAATGTTGCTGAGCCAAGGGAAACCACGTGGATAAAAGGAAGAACAAAGAGGCTTGGGCCCGGGATGCCGATGCCGAACTCGTGAAAAGGTCTCGCACGGCGGCGAAGCGATGAGGATCCACTCCCCATCCCCAAGAAGATGAAATAGATGTTGCCACAGCCCCTCCTTTGTTAAATCATGCTCTGAAGAACGCTGCAAATCAAATTGAAGCAATGTATCCACGTGCCCAAGATCATGAAGAAAAGAGCCCACATCACCTTTGCGATGAGGCCCGGCAAAGATGTAAAGCACATGCAATCCAGCTGGGCTGTACAACTGCGGCTGATAGGACATGTGCTCTGATGTTTCGATGGTAGAAACGCTCTGATGTGGCTGAAGCGATAGTCACTCTTTCTGCTTGCCAGCTTTCTGCTTGTGATCCCGAGCAGAATGCTCCTGATAACAGCCCTTAACTCTACACACGTGGAGGCGCTCGCATTTCGGGTTGGTACATCCCTGCGAGTTGAATGCAAAGCATATGTCACGGCCTTCTGGGGTGCGCCACACCAGAGTGAGGCCCTTGAGCGCAGGATCCGACGTTGCAGTCTTGCCCCCCTTGCCCCCTTTGTCATCCTTGCCTTTGTAGCCTCCCTTAGGATCCTTGCCGAGTCCCTTGCCGTCTTTATCCTTGCCTTTGCCTTTGTACCATTTGCGAGGGCGCTCGATGATTGAAAGTGCAAGGGGGGTTGTGAAGTAGGTCTCCTTTAGCTCGGCTGAGCTAATCACCGTTGCAAGCGCGGCAGAAAGAGTTTGATCCTCTTGCGTCACCAATCGAAAGGCCTCTTTGCGTAGCCTATGTTCGTAAGCTAGAACCACATGCCAAGGAGGGCTAAGCGTAGGCACATCATTGGGCTGATGAGAAGTAGGAACATTTAGCTGAGCCACTTTCTCACCGAGGATGTAGTTGACGAACTGATCGAAGTCCGAGAGCCTAAGACCCTGAAGCCATTGCTTTGATTTAAAGCGCGCGGCCATGCATAGCCAAGTGAAGGCCTCCACTCGTAGAACTTTTCGATAGGCCTCGGTAGTGGTGGGCAGCTCGCTCTTGGCCTTATGTTGAGTGATATGGATGCGGCCTGAAGCGTCAAGCGAAGACTGAATGCTAGTTGTCAAAGTGCTCTTCTTAGAGGTGATGGCATCCACGGTGGAGGCCTGGGGCTCGTTGACTTCGCACTCCTCGCACTTCAATGCCAAGTACTCTGCTGAAGGAGTCTCGGATTCCCCCAGCTGGCCATGGACTGCCACCACCGCCTTTATCATGGCTTGGCGTTCGGTGACCTGCAAAATGCGGGGCTGCCCGAGCACCTTAGCCTCTGCGCGAGTCTCTGTCTCCTTGGTGATCACGTCGCGGGCCAACTCCCACGCCGCGACCACCCCGGCTATCTGCTGACGTCCATCTGCAGTGTCATCTGCCAAGCCGAAGTCGGCCTTTCCAGCGACTCGTGCCTCAGCACGAGAATCGGCGATCGCCTGGAACCGGCGCAGCGTGGTATGCCGCTGCACCACCCTGTATTGCGCATCGAGCGATAGCCCCGCCTCACCGAGGACGAACTGAAGATCACTATCTGCTCCAGTGATCAACTGCCGCTTGTCGTCATCTGAGGCCATGGCTTCGGATGCACCTAGAGCACCACTACCAACCGCTCGCCGGCCGCTTTGAAGCCTGTGGCCCTAGATGGATACAGCACCCACTCGGGCCTTTGCTGTGAATACCAACTCTCAGCAGCCGCCCTGAGGCCTGTGGCAATGTTGCGGGATTCCTTGTGGCACCCTGAGGTCTGCGCCTGAAGCTCAATGGGAGCCCTGCTTGAGCTATTTTCACCAGACGGCAGCTGCCCAAATGCGCGTACGACAGACATGTCAGCAGACCTGCATCCTGATTTTCAACCCTGTCGAATTACATAATTTGTCAGGGTAGATCCCTCCGCACTTCGCGGATCCTCCCCTACACCGATCTGCACATGCGTATTTGGCAAATGAACTCTTCCTCACTCCGAATGCACGTGCGAACGACATGACAGCAGACCTGAGTCCTGATTCCCGATGCTCCAAGCAAAAGCCCAAACTGCACATGCATACTGGGCAAGCGGAGTTTTCGCCTCACACATGATCAACGAAGAGGTAGGTTCCTTTCACACTGAATCGCTACCAGTATCGCTACTGGAGGGGTCTGATTCCTCCTGACCGGCCTGAGCCCGTGACAACCACTGTAACCTTGCACAGGACACTTCGTCCCTCAGCTCTGCCCGCAAACGGGCCTACAAGCGAGCAGTACGCAGAGCCTCTCAGCACCCGGACCAACACACCATGTACAGAGGCCGCGCCTGCACCTTGCAGCAACTCTGCAGAGGCTACCAGGGTCGGCAACCACGACCCAACCCTCAACGACAGGCGCAGCTGCATGCTTTGCAGCGAAGTAAGGGCCGGCTTCTTGTTCTTTCCTGGAATGCCGGAGGCCTCTCCTCCAACCTGTGGCAGGAATTGCTCCTGACCTTGGAGCATCTCAGCCCGGAAGCTCGCCCCCAAGTGGTGTTTATCCAGGAGACCCATTGGGGAGATAAGGTGGCACCCGACTTTATCACTGCTCAGTGGTCAGTTTACGCTTCGCCGGGCACGGACAACAAGGCTGCGGGATTACTTGACCTCCTAGACAGAAAGTCGCTACCCAGTGGTGAAGTGATCACAGAGCGGATCCCCGACCACGCGGGATACAGCACATCCGCATAGTCACGGCCCCGTGGACGGCCGATCTCCTGCATGTCTATCAGAAGCCGTGCAATTTTCATCCCAAGGCCTCCCAGGAAGCCAAAAACATCAGAGCAGACATATGGTCTGTGCTTGAGGCCCAGCTGAAGCGCATACCCAAAAGGCACACACTGCTGCTGGCAGGCGACTTCAATTGCCCGATACGGTCATACCCCCAGGCTGGTCCGAGAATCCAAGCTGGCAGTGGCACCATGCCGCCAGACCAGGTCCGCCTCCAAAACATCGTTGAGTTGTACACTTAAACTCGTGGTGCAGGGCGGCTGGTCCCACATTCGTGCATGCCAAATGCCAAAGGCGCCAGCTTGATAGACCACGTTTTGATGAGGGCGTCCCAGACTGACAATAGGGCCAAGCCGGCCAAGCCGGTTGACCTGGCCCTTGCAGCCTGGCGACTTGGAGGGAAACATCTTCCGGCCCAGGCCAGCCTCCCAGTTGTAGCCTTTCACTCCCTCAATCATCCGGCTAAACCCAAGAGAGAATGGAATCACTGGGAGGTGGTGCAGCTTTGCAAACATCCGAATGACAGTCGGGTGGCGGCCCTTCGAGGCTTAGTCCAACAGCAGCTGCACAAGGCCACTGACATCGCTTCCCTGAACCAACTTTTAATCAGCAGTGCAGCCCAAATCTTCCCTCCTGTCAAGGGTCAACAACGATTGGCCACGTGGCAGCAGCCCTGTGTGAGCCTTGGCATCAAGGGCATGTGGCAGGCCACAAGCCAGTGGAAGCAGCTGACACGGACTCACCCGGACAAGGTCATGCTGATTAACCGAGCACGCCAAGCCTTCAAGCAGGCGCACAAGGCTTTTAAACAGGCGGGCAAAGCATGCAAGAAGCAATGGTTCTATGACAGAATTGATGAACTCCAGTTAGCTGCCAGTCGGGGAGACACCAGGTCGCTGTTTGCCGGAATCCGAGCCGTCGCGCCCAAGAAGGCTAAGACAAAGGTCCAACTTCGAGACGACAAAGGACAGTTGCAGTCTGCTGGTGAGCAAATCAAGCAGCTGGAGACCTACTATCGCCAGCTGTATGCGGCCGATGAGGACCCTTCTGTCGCTGGTGAGGTCAGAGCCCCGGTTCAACTCAGCATTGACAAGGGGCACATGACTCGTGTACTCTCTCAGCTGTCGCCGCACAAGGCCACCCCTCCGGGCAAAGCTACAAACTCTCTCTGGAGGCTGACTGCCGACCTCCTTGCACCCACTATATGTGAGCTAGCTACCCACTGGAGGCATATCCCGGCCGACTGGCGTGATGCATGGTTAGTCTTGGTACCAAAGGTTCCGAGGCCGGTCTCGCCTCGGAACCTGCGTCCCATTGGACTCACCGAATCCAGCGGGCGGGCATACGCCCGCCTGCTGCAACAGCAACTTAGAGAGTACGCCTCCTCCTACCTTCGAAAAGCATCGCAGTATGCGTATCTTGCCGGACGAGAAGCATCTATGGCCATACACCGAGTATCTCAACACTGCAAGTATGTGCAGATGAAGTGCTCGCATGTGATTCGCACAGTTGCCGACAGGCAGGAGTGTCGTCCAGCCTCTGCTCCCCACTTCGCCGGGGTCCAGCTGTCGCTGGACCTGTCAAACGCCTTTGATCTCCTGAACTGGAGGTTGATAGATCGTGCTCTACAAGATGCGGGCGTGGATGCTGAACTACGCAATCAGGTCATGTCGTGGTATTTTGAAGTCACATATCACATTGAGCACCTGAACAGGACGGCCCGGGTTACTGCCCAGAAGGGCCTGCGTCAGGGCTGTCAGCTTGCCCCGATCTTGTGGGCAATGGGAATGGGATTTGTTTTCAAAACTGTGGCGGCTGATGCAACCAATCAGGTCACATCAGCATGGCTACAGAACAACACCACCACTTACGCGGACGACATCCACCTCATGGAGGTGGCGAGTTCCTCTACCCACCTCGAACGAATCCTCCACAACTTCGGTACGATGCTTGATGCACTAGCTGACAATGACATGCGTAGCAATGCCAGCAAGTCAGCAGTCCTCCTTAGACACAGAGGATCCTTCATCAAAAAGTGGCTCAGACGACACAAGCAGCACACCTCGGATGGGGATCTCCTTTATCTTCGGACGCCCAAGGGGCGAGAATTTAGGTTCCCCATACGTGAACAGCACACGTATTTGGGTGTCAAGATTTCGTATCATGCCATGGCCAGACACACTGCTCTATATCGTCTGCAGGTTGCCAATCAAGCGTGGCAAAGACTCCGGAGCGTCCTCTGTTCCAGTGGACGACTGGCTCTGGAGCATCGTGTTTCCCTCTGGAAAGCGACGGTGCTTCCAACGTTGATGTATGGCCTTGCGGCCGTTGGTCCAGAGCTCAGGGAGCGCACGCGTATGCAGTCCTTGATCATCAAGCATGTCAGAGCCATGGCTAAGTCCTTTGCACACCTGCAGCACGAATCCTCCTGCAAGGTCCTCCTGAGATGTGGCGTTCTATCGGCACAGGCTCAATTACAGAAGGAAACGGAGGACTGCTGGGACGCCTACGAACCCATGCGGAGGTGACGCCTCTTGTGACAGCATCCCAGCTAGAGGCGCTGAGAACACAAGCTGCCCATCTTCAGGCGGCTGACTTGATGGAAATGGAGGGTGTCGCTCACAACATCAGTGAGGACCCTGGGCAGACATGCCAAACGTGTGGCCGAGCCTTCCACTCCTTCCGTCTTCTGCGCTCTCACGAGGCCAAATGGCATCAACAAACGACTCCCAACCCCCAGAAGGCCACCTTTGACCGACTAGCACATGGTACGGACGGCTTCCCCACATGTAGGCACTGCGGTCATCGATTCAGGCAGTGGGCCAATCTTGAACAACACATTCAGAGAAATAGATGCCAGGTGCTCAGAAAAGGGTGCGAAGTGATCGGCTCTTCCAGTCGACCGCTCACTGAGTCCCATGAACTGCAGGGAGCTGAGGCTGCAGTAAAAAACGATCAATCCGCCACCAGTGAGTCTTGCCAGGCAAACCTTAATCTGGGAGCTGACAGCACCGTGCATGCCTCAGCTGAAAATCCTCCCTGTCCTGTCGCTGCTGCCTCAGCAGAGCCAGATGACACTGCCTTGACCAAGATGGAGACAGCAGACGCACCGGCCTTTGATACCTCCGAGGGCTCGCCCTCGACATCACTCCCCCTGGAGGACTGGCCGGTGGTCCTTAAGCATCTGCAAACGAAAACACCTGGACGAAACTTCTTGAGGATGCAAAGGTGCAGCAATATCTACAGCACCACTGTCCCATCTGCATGCAATGGGCTGCCACGCCGAACGGACTCAAGTGCCACATGACCAATCAGCATGAGGAGTGGAGACAGCTTCAGAAACCTATCCAGCATCTACTCATGGGCTTCAGACGTCACACTGTGATTCCATGTCGGTACTGCAAGCAGTCCAGGGTAAGTAAGGATCGACACTGGCAACAATGTCATGTGCTGAGCCTTTGTGCATTCCTACATGCTAGACATGACGGCCAATGCTCGGGACGACATGGACCTGGACGAACAGGAGCAGCTCTTCTTCCGGCATATGGGGCCTCTAGCCGGGACCCGTCGGGACTCCACCCGAGCAGAGCCCAGCGATCCCTTGCAGAACTCGGGGGTAGCCAAGAGACCGAGGGTGGAGGCTCCGGAAAGAAGCAAGGGCAGAGGCGGCAAGGGCAAGGGCAAGAACAAGGGAAAGGGGGGATCTCCTCCAGGTCCTCCTCTGCCTCAGGGCACCTACCCCTCGGCCCGCATGTGGGCATACAGCAGTGGCTCAAAGGAGGGAGCAGACCTGCCGACGCCATGGTCAGCGGACAAACCGGGGCACCAGAGCTGGTTGGAGG